TTTACAATAGCAAAGACCTGGAACCAACCCAAATGCCCATCGATGATAGACTGGATAGGGAAAATGTGGCACATATACACCATGGAATATTATGCAGCCATCAAAAACGATGAGTTAGGGTCCTTTGTAGGGACATGGATGAACCTGGAAACCATCATTCTCAGCAAACTGACAGGACAGCAGAAAATCAAACACCGCATGTTCTCACTCATAGGTGGGTGTTGAACAATGAGAACACATGGATCCCATAGTTCTTAAGAAGGGGAGCTGGAATTTGACCCCAGATGGTTCAGCTCTGGGGTCTGTGCTATTAACATTTCTACCCCTCCCACCGTGCCGCTCTAGAGTCTGTAACGTGAGGCTCCTCAGCCCGGACTTTGAATTCTCTCCCTGTCCCACATTATGGGAGTGTGGGTTTGCATACATTCCAGGCAAACCTGAGCATGTCCCATATACTCAACCACATTCTGCCTGTCATCTCAGAGCACCAGAATGACTGGATTTCTGTCTGTGCCCCAGAGCCTTGTCCTCCATCCCCAGAGAGGTTAGAGAAAGTCCCCCAGCCCCACCAGGTGTCTCCCCCACTGCACTCGTTCTAAATGACGAAGAAAGACACTGATCAGAAATGACAAAATGTCCCAGTGGTTCTATAGCATTGAGACTGTGAACGAGTCCTCTTCTCCCTTCTTCTTTTTATACTTTTCAATACCTCACTGTCTTTAAGGAGCACATTAATCAGAAAAACAAATGTTTTAATTAAAAACATAAACCTTGGGCACACAAACAAGACACGAATCCAAGATGTATCTTTACCAAGTGGAACTTAGAAGACGTTTGATCTCTTTTATGGGGCTGGAGTCAATTATGCTCCCCTCCGTGCTCTTTCAAAGGTGTCTGATCTCAGAACTAAGGCGTTACCTTCTTCTTGTTAAGCCCTTCCCTGCACATTCACAGGTTAATTAAAGAGGCCTCCATGGTTCTCTTTTGCACGCCACCACTTAAAGACCCACGGGTTGGAGCTTTCCATTGAATTAAGAATTTCTTTTCTATTAAAAGGACACAGATGACAGATACTTAAACCGAGCTCCCAATTTGCATATTTATTAGTCTAAATTAGTCATTTTATCCCCAAAATGCATGGGTTTCAGTGTTTGCTCTGTGTAGTATGGGCTTTTAATTCCCACCCTGGTGATGCCACAGCTAGCAGTTGTGAGCAATATGACAATGTGCCTGAAGTCTCTGTGGCATCTTACAGCTGTGCCTCGCTCCAGACCCACCTGGGCTGTAAAAGTAAATCAGCTCTGTGCCCTCACTGTCCTCTCTTAGGTGCAGCTGCGCCAAGGGGTGTGGAACTTTTTGGATCTGGGATACCAGATTCAGCTGGGGCCTCACTAGGATCAAACAAGCAGAAGATTAACAGCACATGGAAATCTGGAGAGGAGGCAGAAGAGCATCTTTGTTTGGTGGACAGTACAGGGAGCTATCAGGATGTATTTAGGTTGTTTGTTGGTTTTTACAAGACTCCAGTCGACACCAGGCTCTTGGGACATGACCAATACCAATTCAGGAAGGAGAAAGCCGAAGAGCCCAATTTCCTATGCAATGAGTGTAGCTACTGACTGAGCTGCTCCATGTAGAGTCCGTATCATCACTTCCGTGGTACATGGCAAAGATATGTCTGTGTTTGGAAGCTTTTGCAGTTTTACTGGAAAGCTCAAATTTAAGTGTAAGTCACTGAAGCATAGCAAACTCTGCTAGCTTTGTCTCGGAGATTTACTGTAACCTGCTGAAATGACTGGTTACAGAATGAAAGATTCTTGGACAGAAATAATCCATGTGAAAGTACCTTGCACAAAGCCTGGCACATAGCAGACATAATAATAGGTAGTGGTTAAATTGAATAGTCAAATCTCAGCTGCAGAGCACAGAAGAGGGGTCTCTGGAAAAACAAAGCCTAAGGAAGTTTTTAATACCCCTCATAGGGATGGCGCAGGCAAAGAGGTATAACCTTCAAGAATACGATGCCCAAATTCCCTCTAATTTCAGGCTCTGTCTGCCACCTCAATGCAAATTTCCCTGAATAAATTCCACTAGGCTACATAGTCCTTTGCATGTTAATTTTAATGAGGTCTCATTTCCTGTGCCACCGCTCTACCCCAAAGTTTTCTCCCCTGCCCAAGAGCAAATTTTATTAAGAAGGAAGAGAATACAAGGGTATCAGCTTCCAAACTTCGGGGGGAGGCAGGGAATGGGGACGTTACCAAGAAGGAAAAGCAAAATTGAAGAGCAGTGTATCTTTACTTACATGCAAGACTGGAGTGCTGCCCGTCAGGACTCCACAGGCACGAACTACTCTTGCTAAGCAAGAAGTCTGAGAAACACGGGAAGGCTCCCAGGTGATAGCAAGCCAGGGCTAATGGATTTAGAGGCTAATTTCTTTTTAATAATTAGCATCTTTTCCAATTTCATTGATAGTACCTGAGTTTTCCACTTAGCTCCTACTCTTAGGATGGGCTGATCTCAGCTCCTCATTCTGAGTGTTTACTGTGCCTTCTCTGATGGAACAATAAAGATTAAAGTTTGGCCCCAAAGTTGCCTCTATCCACTGATAAACCCTCACCTTGTCCTGAGTGGACCAAGATAAGAGGTTCATTTTAAGCAAGATGCCACCTGATAGCCTAGAAAAGGGTTAAGATGTCAAAAAATAATAATAAAACTTTAAAAAAAAAAAACAGAAAAGAACTAGTACTCACAAACTCTCAAAAACTTCCTTTGATCAAATGTCTTCCCTTGCTGTGTTTCTGCCACATAACATAAGTCCATTTCATTCTTTCCATCATGTTAATAACTTCCTGTCCTCTTGTCTCTGGTGTTTGCACAAAAATCTAGAGGGAATTAAATACAAGTAGTATGGAAGAGAAAAAATATGGATATATTATTTATAATTTACTGTCGCCTGAAATTTTATCCAAGGTCTACTTGTCTTTTAGAGATATGAATATAAATGAGAAAACAAATATTCCCCACAGAGCAGCCAGGACTTGGTGAAATGATTGTCTGAGAGGCAGTTTCATTGTCTCTTTTAATACCATAAAAAGCAAACAAGGTTCTCACTAAAGCTTGTCCTAAGAGACAGTGAGCACTATAAAATAGGTTGTCTTGACCTTGAGGTTAAGCAAAGACAATCATTTGCAGAGGTACCCAGAGATGGGTAATAAGAAGTTTCCTTTTATTACCTTTGTTCCAGTCCCTGCCCTCCCACATCCAGACTGAGCTGCTCTGTGGGGCTTTTTAAGAAAACTTTGGAGTCTAACACAAGCTTCAGCTTCTGAGGTTGTAAAGATTAA